ATGTAGTTGCTAAATAGGAATTGGGAGAGAATTGAGCCCTATGGCATCCAACTTAGCAGAGAGCTAAGGCTGAATCTCTCCCCCCTCCCCCAACTGGAGGCAGCAATGGAGAAGAAGGTGAACCACTGAAGAACAGTGCTTCCCACTCCCAGCCCCCTTAACTAGCCCAGAATTTATGGTATTGAAAGCCATTGACAGATAAATAATGGCCAGGATGGAGATACTACCCCCACCCTGAGCTCTCCAGAGATCATCCAAAAGTGTGATTAATGCCATCTCTGTGCTATATTCCAGCTTGAACCCTGACTGCTGTGGGTCCAGATAATATGCTTCTCATGGAGTCCTTTGAAGCTGCAGGCCTACCACCTTCTCACCTACCTTCCCTAAAAAGTAGACCGGTGGAACCACACCCTCCTAGGAGGAGACATTTACTACCACTTGAACCTTGCTAGGTGTCATCTCCTGGGAGGCCCTAACCAGTCAGGAGGGAGATGAATCTTACACCCAGATGGCAGGACTCAGCGTCCAAAGAACTCTGTAACCAGATCAAATTCAGCCCAGATAACTGGACAAAACTGCACACTTCAATGAAGAGGCCTTTATTTTGCCATAGCATGGACTAATTCAGGCTTATAATAATATAGTTTCCATATGAGGCTGTTACTATACAATCATTCTGCTTTACAAACTGAAATCTGTAGGAAATCCAAATGTTGCTGTTTTCAATTCATATTCTGCTGTTTTTCCACCACTGAGAAGGATAGAAAAGCTAGACAATATTTTTGAATGCTAGTATAAGGAGTCATCTGTTTGAAAACCTTTCCAATCCCATTTAAATTACTGTAATTAATTTATGGGTATAGCTCTGTATTGTTGGAAGGGGCTTGGGTTTTTAATATTTATTATATTGAAAGAATGATTGATATGGAACCCTATGCATGTTGGCTCAGAAGTGAGTTCCAGTAAGTTTAATGGCACTTATTCTAGGAATGTTTGAATAGAATGGAACTTGAGGTTGACCTCAGTAACCACATATGGATAGTTCCAAATAGCCAAAGTTCATGCAGTATGCAAGAAAATAAACCCAGGAGGAGTAAACTTTTTTTGGGACTAAGGCACACACTTAAAATAAATAAACCTGGTCTCCAAACTCATGACAATGATTTAATCAAAAGCCAAATTGTTCATCTTTTTTGTGTTCCCTGCTGGGGGGTGAGTGCTTTTGCTATCAAATTAAGATGCTTTAAGCTAGGAAAAGGCTTAATGCACTAATTTAGACATATGTTGCCAAAATCTAGTTTTCAGCAGTGCAATTTGGGAAATCTGGTGGTATAAAAATAGAACTAGAGGCCATGGTTGCCTGTTACCGTCATAAGCCACAGTTTTACAAGCCACAATGGCCGAGTCTATGAAGACCTTGGTCTCAAGCAGCTGTTGGTAATAAGACTCCATTCATCCATAGCTCATCTGGCGCATGCTCCCCAACAAATTCTTTTAACAGTTAATGGTCCCCCAATGTTTTCCTATAGTAGGACCTGTTATGGAACGGCTTCCCTCTTGAGGTCAGATCAGCATTCACGCTAATGGCCTTCCAGAAATTAGTAAAAATTGAGCTTTTTGAGAGAGCATTTGGGAGATGAGCATGTACCATCTATACCATTGTAATTCCTTCTGTCTTATTATGTTGGTTTTAATATTGTTTTATTGTTATAGATAAAGCCAATGTGGTTAAATATGACCAAAGGCCATGTAGGTTATACTTTTATGTGCTGTAAACTGTCTGGAATCACAAGAAGTAGGTGGCATACAAATATGGGTAAATAAATATATACCTGATCAAAATAAACATGCTAAATCAGAATTAAGCATCCAGTCTTGGTGAATTACTCTGCATTATGACTAAAACAAATCACGACATATTGTAATGCCCAAATCAAGGAACTGAAAGGAATGTACATTGATGGGTTTGTGCTAAGCTTAGATTTATACACAGGGTGGCTTGCGAATCAAGTTTTATGGCATAGCATATTATGAGAATCCTGTCATTGAACCTTAATCCATGTCACGTATACCATCATGTCTTTTTATTTTGTGGTGTATAAATACAACTAGTTTTCGTGTAATAGTTAAACCAAGGCCTAGGGTTACACATGACACCAGCCAACTGTGTTCTTTCAACAGACCATGGTTAACAAAACCAAGGCTTATGCGAAACAGAGCACAGTGTTCCGGAGGCAGAGGCGTGCCTCGGCTCAAAAGCACCCGCCTTGCCGATAAGCGCTCGTTTATGTCGCAGACCCCCGCGCGCGTCCATCACGCGCCGCGGAAGAGGGATAGCCGCCGCCGGCGGCTGCGATAATAGTCACCTCTGACCCGAGCGTGTGGCCTTGGCAACGGATTCCATAGGGGAACCTCGCGGGAAGCCTCCACCGCCGCGGCCGAGCGCTTTCTTGGGCCCTGCTAGCGATGGCAACTATCAGGCGTGAGTCTCCGTCCAGTGGAGTCGCAGCCGAGCCAGCATGAGGCTGCGCCCCAAAAGGGGCGGCTTCTGTCAGCCACTCTGGTTGCTGCTGCTCGTAGCCCGAAATTGCCAGGCAGGGGCTCCGTGGTACTGACCCGGAGAGCCTTTTGGGGGTCATCGCAGGTGAGCGTGAGGCCGGGCGGCTGGGCGGGAACTTGGTTGTGCCGTCCGAAGCCCCTCCAGCTTAGCCGGCCAGTTCCTTCCTGCGGTTAAGTAGGACAGGAGGCGCCCGGGCAGAGGGGCAGCCCTGCATGCCTGGGCGGTCAGTTCGGCGGGAGACCGGGGACCTCACCGTCCGTGGAAGCTGAAGGGAGCGCTTCCTCTGTCCGTCTTCCTCCCTGTAAGCCCCGATATAGTGAGTGAGCCCCCACCTTGGTTTCCCTTAGGGAGGAGAACGGAAAACTTAAGGTGTGGAAAACTCGGAGTCTTCCTCCGTTCTCTTCCCATTTTTCCTGCCGTGATTGGATTCTCCTTCGCCCCAAACTTTGCCCCGTAGCCCCCTTCAGCGAGCCCCCTTTGATTGGGGCTGTGGTGGGAATACAGGGGTGTTGTGGGAGGTTCACAGCGTGCGTCATCGCAGAGTGAGTTTGCTATGGGTGGGCGCCCAGAAGAGGGGGAGGGGGAAAAGACCCGCCCCGGTGATGGTCTGGGTCTCGGGGCTACCCGGCCATAGCGGGGGGCTTGAATTCTGTTTAAGACGTGATTTTGGCGGAGCCGAGAAGGGAGGAAGAAATCGGCCAGGACAATGATTACACTCCTCTTCTGCCCTTTGTGATTGTTATCGAGCAAAGGTTAACCGCATTTCTGTGCTCATCTGAAGGTGTTCTCAAGATTACCCAGTGCAGCATAGGGTTGTTGCTGAAAATTCTTCTGAATATAGACAAAAAAAGAACTCTTTTCATCAACTGAACTAAGAATTATTATGGATCAAATCAAGATATTTTCAACTAATATTAACGTGCTGAATGGTCCATTCAAAGGAAAAAAATCAAGTTAAAAAAAAAGGAAAAAAGCACTTACTATATGCCTTCAGGTGACACACATCAATAATGATAAGTCTGTTGGAATATAAACATTTTTGTCAAAAATATGTGACCTTGGATAGAAAAAAATGACCAGCCATGTATGTGAAAAATTTACCATGGATTCCAGAAAAACAAATAGGATAATGAAGAACAATTTATCACATTTTCACTGAATCTGGAAAACCATCAATTGCCTCAATTCAGACTCCAAATGATGATAAAACAAAATTCTATGAAAGATTTTTTTTCAAGTACTTCTTGAAATTGCAGAAATACTCTTCTCATTTTGGAGATATAAATGGGGGCTTTTCCCCATATGTAGATAAAACAGTTTTATCCTCTGCCCCAGCTTCTGAGCTTCTGCCAGCAGGGATACTTTCAAAAGGGCTTTCCTTTTGATATAAATAAGCAGGAGAGGTGGTCCTTCAGGTCCTAATCTATTTTGGATGTTAAAAGTCAATAGGCAGTTGGCAGTTGCTGTAGATCTTTCAGTACAAACATCAGGCAGTACATTTTCTGCATCTTACATCAGTCAGCAGTCTGTCTGCTATTTTTTCCAGAATAGCTCCATATAGAACACATTGCAGTAGTCACTTCGTGTTGTAACCAAGAGATAAGTAACTAAGTCTGACTGGTTCATGAAAGGTTGCAACTGGCACACTAGCTGTAGATGTGCAATGTATTCCTTGCCACAGCTACTTTGCTACTCTAAATCTTCCACTGAAAAGCTAATATATTGGGAAAGACTAGACAAGAAGGTGCTTCCTTTCCGTTTGCAGGAAATATTTTTAAAAATTGAACAGCTGAATTTCTCATTCCAGTCTGAAGTACTGGTGCAATCAAATACACCTCTGTGAAAAATAGGCTGAAGCCAGCTTTGTCTAACTTTGGTGTTCTTCAGAAGTGCACCTGCCATCATTCCCATTCAGCAGTGATCCTGCTGATTGAGGCTGGGATTTGAGGTTTGTCATTTGATGTACAGTATCTGAAGTTGGGGAAGGTTGGCCAAAGTGAAGGAGCCTTTCAAATAATGTTTTACTGTACAGCCATCCAGCTCCGTTTTTAGTACTATATGAAGAGTCTTTTATTTGTAATCTTCCTATATTTTCTTCTGTTTTTTCTTTCTGAAAAACAAAACAAATTAAAGAGGACAATGGAATAATTGTTTAATTTATTTTCTTTGGTAGAGCTTTCAATCTGGAATCACCAGATTGAAGCATTCCAGACTCACATGTGGCTTTGATGTGCCAACCAACTTACAGACTATGTGCAATCGATTTTGATGGATTAACTTAAGTAGCCTGTATGTACACATTAATAATTTAATTTATTAAATTTATTAAGCAAATAACTTGTATGTGTAAAATACTTCTTTTGTTATTCTCAACAGTTCCTGTGTTTTTTTCTCCTCATAGGTAGTATCTCTGTCTTGTTACGTTCCATAAGCAAATAAAATGACAACTGTAAACCGTGAATCAGAAGGCTCTCATCGGTGAGTTATTCTGGTTGGAATATAAATGTAACCATAGTTCAGTGGCAGCACCCATGCTCTGAATACAGAGAATCCCAGATTCAGTTGCTGGTACCTCAAGTTAATATTAGATATGTGACAACATATCTACCCAAACCATATGAGAATATGGCTTGAGTCCAAGTTATAGTATTGTGAAAGTATGAATTAATTTAATTGATGCATGCTTGGTTTGTGAGATTTATAAATCCTTGAAATGTTTTGTCTTTACTCCATCATCACAATTGTTCAATTATATTTTAAAACTTTACGGTTGCTCTAAAAACAAAAACATACATACAGTGCATTTGGAAAGTATTCAGACCCCCTTCACTTTTTTCAATTTTGTTATGTTGCAGTCTGATACTAAATCGTTCAAATTCATTTTTTTCCTCATTAATCTACATTCAGCACCCCATAATGACAAAGTGAAAACAGAATTTTAT